AAAGAGAAGAAGAAAGAGAAGAAAAAGGAGAAAAGTCACAGCTGAACTAGAGAGAAAAATCAAATCCCACTAGTCGGCCCTTCTTTTATTTATACTCTTCTAAGATATACAAGGATTACCATTGTGCCCTCACTTCAGCTGAGCAGTACATATATAACTAAACATAAAAGGACTGTACTACCCTTGTATAGCCGACTCTAACAATTTGTATCCAATATTTTAAAAGGTGTGGGAGACGTGCCCTCCAGGCGAGGCACCTCCCAAAATGCCCTGAGGTGTATGCCAGAGGCATTGATACCTTTGAAGCGTATGCATCAGGTGCAAAAGACATACACCTCATACACCTTTTTCATGAGGCATGCTAGAGGTGTATGCCTTATGCATATCTCATACAAAAAGACAAAAAAAGAAAGGGAAGGGAAAGAAAAAGAAAGGAAGAGAAGAAAAAAAAGGAAAAAAGAAAGAAAGAAAAAGGGAATGGAAAAATAAAGAAAAAAAGAGATCCTCCTGCCCCCGGACTTAACTTTTTTGTGCTAGGGGGGGGGGGGGGCTTGCTCCACTCTGGCTCACTCGCGAAAAATGAAGAAAAAAGATATAGATATCCTCCTTCCTCTTTTTCCTCCCCCTCCTCCTTCCTCCTCTTAAGGAGGCCTCCGCATTTTAAAAACATTGTTTGTATCTAGTGCTTGAGAATTCTTCTTTTCTCTTTTTTGATGTAGATGGAACCCTCCAGAGGATTTTGGAAGCATTTTTAGCACCTCTTTTTCTTTCCACCAAAAAAGAGAGAACTTTATGTAGAGCACAAAAGCAACATTACCATATGCATTAAAAAATTAAAAAAAACAAAGCAACATAACTATGAATGTTTAGGAAGAAAGGAATGCCAAAATCTTTAAAGAAAAGAATCAGATGAAAGGAACACTAATTAAAAACATCTGTGAAGGTAGCTTATTGGGTAAAGATCTTGAAAATATTTTCCCCTTTCTTCATTAATGATATCATTCGAAATCGGTAGATTGTGACAGGTTGATCAGAAATTGCCATCGCAAATAGGGTAATCATGGGTGTTCAGGTACCTATGTAGTAGTTAGAAATAGAAATGGCAATATAATTAGCCGTATTAATTATTATCTAGCCCTATTGGCAATAGTGACTCTACAAGGGCAGAATCGACGGCTGTGTTTCTAGGGCTTAGACTGAGGAAATCCCTATATTACAAAGACTTTGGTGGTGGAAGGGAATTATAGGATTATTATGAGCTGGTTTAAACATAACAGTACATGTTCTTGAATGTATAGACATGCTAGAAGGGCAGTAAACACTAAAAAGACTGCCTGGGGAATTGAGAGTAATTTTTAATTGGATTCAGACATCAGCTAACAATCTATCCGATGCTCTTTTTTACAGAAAAAAGAAAATTTCATTAAGAAAAAGGAATACAAGAATATGTTACAAGTGATCACCAAAGAAGAAAAAACATACAAGCAACATCAACTCTTCCATACCCACTAGAATGACAACTAAAGATCTAATTTATAAATTAAATTCCACATGAAAACAGCCCATCTATCTTCAACAAGTTGCACCATCCACTGACATCCCTAGTCCAAGCATCACATCAGCAGTCACATCAAAAAAGAGAAAAAAGATTTTAACTGTAGACTGTACAACATAGTCAATATCCCAGACTATCAACACAATCTATCTGATGCTCTGGCAAGAGGAGTCATAAGGTATCAACTATATTTGAGGGCATGTCATTGTTAAGCTAAAAGTTGCAAACAGTGGTGGATGGTAGATGCTAGCCCAATCATAGTGGTGCTTGGCATAATTGTGACTGTACAACATTCTTTTATCTAATTATCAATAAATTTGTTTCTTACCGATAAAAAGAAGGGTTAAAACCTCTTAACCTCCTTGCATTGGATTATGATATGAGGGGTTATTCTTCCTCTGCGTTACACAAACAGCAAATGTTCTCCATCAAGGGGTGCAGTTCACAATTCAATTATGAGCGGAACAACTTTTGGTTGAAGATGACTCCAATGTGGTGGCAAGGTTCAAAGTATCGATACAATACGCATATCGGCCGTATCGTATCAGTACTTAGAAACGGCCGAAACACCTTTTTTTTAGTTTTTTTTCAAAATTTGGTTTTTTGGGAAGCTTAAAACGTGTTGGGGGTCCGAAACACCTGGAAACAGGCATTTTGGACCGTATCTTTTTCAAAAGATACGATACGATACGCCCGATATGGGGTGTATTGTATCGATACTTTAAATCATGTGTGGTGGTAGGGTGGTTGAAGAACCCAGAGCAAGCTGTGTGGTGGTATAAGAATGAAATCAAGAAATTTAAATGGCTGACACAAAATATGCATGCAAGAATACAGTGGGTGGGGAGATCAGAAAATGCTCTAGCTGATTGGTTAGCCAAGCAAGGGGCAAGAAGGGAACAATTATTTTGGGCCCAGCTGTAATTTGTTATTTAATCTTTTTGTAATGTAATCTCTTTGGGAGAGGCTGCAGCTCACGCCTCTCCAGGGATGCTTGTATCAGTTTCGAATCTCTGAATTAATAAAATTCCTCATTACTTATCAAAAGAAAATGTTCTCCATCAATCTACCCCTAGACATGAGATGATTGATGGTTAATATTTTGTCCCAACAAGAAATGAAAAAATGAATTTAATAAAATGATTTTTTTGAAGATAAATAAAAAACGTTTATTAAACAAATAAAGAAGATACAAGGGAAGGTGATAAGCAATCATCCGAGGAGAAAGAAACAAACAAGAAAACACCCAACAAGATGAAACAACAACCTTACAGCCCAAACCAACCCACACAAATGATCCTGTTCTTATCCATCTTCCAAAGACAATAATCTTCTGTCCCTACTTGGATTTTGACTTGCTCAAATGCTCCAGTAAAGCCAATACATTATCAGCCTCCCAGAGTCCTGGTCATTCATATGCCTTCATAATCTAGGGGGCCACACCACCTGGCCATCCATCACCTTGTAAAAATCCTTTATAAATGCTACTATAGGTGGAAATGGAAAATATGTCAGGAAATTCTGATAGCAGTGGATGCTCCTGATACCAAAATGAATTGAGATCCTTCACCAGGCCTATATCTAATTTTTTAAATTAATTCTTGCAGATCTGTTTTTTGCCCTTCATGTGCATGGGGTCCATATGGTATGACAACAAGAGAAGATACCCAATCAAAATATCACCGGTATTTGGAGCCAATAACCTTCCTCCATAACGTTTCCTTCTAAGCTTCAAATCACCATAGCCACTTTGCTAAGAGAGATTGGTTTGTCATCTAGAGTAAACGTAGCCTCTATCTTTGGAAGTGCATAGTTGGGAAAAAATCCACCAAACCAAGTGATATTTCATTTGCCATTAAGTTTGTCTCAAGGGAAATCTTGCCCCATTCTCTAAAGGGTATCACTTACTGAGGCAGGGATGGAGAATAGAGAAAAATAAGCAGTCTTTTTTTTTTTGAGAGAGAGAGAGAGAGAAAAGAGTAACTGATTGTATTTAGAAAAAAAAAAGGGGGAGTACATGAGATGATGTACAAGAAGAGCCCAACTCAGAGATTACAAAGGTAAAATTCTGTCAGTAAATAAAGCTTCTCTGTGAGCACCAGACTTGGCTAAATTATCTGCTAAAGAGTTTAGTTCCCTAAGAACCCAGATCAGTTTAACAGTCCAGGAATCCAAAAGACCTCTTGCCTCGGTCAGATAGTGAGCCAATCTCAAAGGTCCACTGTCCCTCTCCCCTAGCCATTTTATAGTGTTA